TTTTCGCTCAGTCATACCATGAAGACCTGAGCTGAATGTAAAGACCATTGAAAGATTCTCAAGTAGCTGCTGTGCGACGCGTAAAGCAATCAAATTTTCAGAAAATTTAGCATAACAGGAAGTAGATTTTGAGCTCCATTGGGGCGAAATCGTTTTTCGCAAATTTCGCCCCAAAAAAGCTGCATTAGCAGAAACCAACTATGGTCCGTTTGTTTACTAGCTAGGGCCAATCTATGGGCAAAAAATGAGCAAAATCGATTTTTCGACTTGTGCCGTTGTTTGGTCCATATTTATGGGCACTGGCTCTTAAATATGTAATGAGATGTCATAAATGTGAGAGTGATATACAGTAAGAGTAGAGTGTCAACAGCTGAATTAAACCTTTCGATTGTCAACACGGTCCAACCTAGACAATCTATGTTCCTGTAAACCTACAAAATTGTTCTTCTGTTCCGCTGCTCTAACGCGGACATTTACATTTTTTATAATCCTTGTTCGTCCGTTGTCCTTCAGGATTATATTTTAGATACTACAAGTTTACCAAACACGTCACTGTTAAACAAAGAAAAGCCTTGGTCTTGAAACAATCCACCCCAAGCAGCTGAAGAAATAACGAACAAGTAAATTTTGCGTGATAACCCAAAGTAAGGTCTGTCGTTTAGATCAAGCCATCTACAAACTCACAACATCGGGGAATGCGAGGAAAGAATAAAGTATTGTACGAATTAAGAAGAATCCAGCTTTCATGGGTGTTTATAGATCGGTCGATCGATCGGTTAAGAAATAGAAAACGAGCCGACAGAAAGAATATTGGTGATAAAATACTCCAAGTGAGCCTTGATGGTTCCTTCCAGGTCTTTGTGAATTCCAAAGAAGTCGCTGTCATTCTCAGGCAAAAGATGCTTGATCATACAAAGACTGATTTAGATGTCAGAGTCACAGGAAAAAGAATATAATGGATAATCAACATGGAAACAAGCAAGAAAAAAATGACAGACAAAAGATCAGGTAAGCAAAACATTTCATACTGGATAAAATTAGACAAGAACTACTCCAAATAGGACAACAAATGTTCGATGAAAATTTCTGGACGTGCTTTTTTGTAGTAAAATACAATTTTATCTAATATGTAATTTACATTTGCAAAAAAAATTACCTGACAAGCCAAACACTAGTTTGGCAGTAAATTAAAAATCTGTATTAAGACAATGAAGTAATCAATAATCATAGACTGCTATGTGATGTTCAGTTTCACAAGTTGCTTCATGATAATTATCTCAGAAGACTAAGACTTCGTGCTTGTCAAGGCTGTTGAGGAGTTTTTGCATATCCCTAAGCCTAAATGAAGAGAATTGGTACTTTCAATACAACCAATCACCTACAAAATTTCATGTTAAGCGTTATATCAACAACGGAAGACTGCAGTTCCACATCCGGACGTTTTTCAACTCGGACTGCATGTTGTCGGAGAAAGCGAGGTATAGAATGAGTTTACAGTGAAATCCCGAGTTTTCAAATCTCCAAGGGAAACGAAAATTTGGTTTGAAAATTCGGTTCGTTTGAGAAATCGGGGGTAACTCTAGTGTTCGCCTGAGAGGAGGGTAACTGACGAGTTTTGGTTTAGAGTTATCAGGAGTTTCGAAAAATTGAGGTTTCGAGAAATCAGGATTGCATTTGCCGTTTGTACATTTTTCCCGTGGGATCGAAGGTTTTGATCACTAGCAGGATTTTTTAGAATGAACGGTGTCATGAACTAGCTTGGGTGCCAGAGGATTAAACTTTCGTTCGCGGAAGAAGCGGTGAGTACGCTATGCTATTTATTTTATTTATTTTATTTTATTTTATTTTGACTAGCCACACAAACAAAATAGAATTACAATACAATGATTAATAAATTACAAAAATTAATATACAAGATTACAATGAAGATACAAAACTACAATTTATATATTAAAGGATAGAAAAAAAAAATGGCGAGGGAGCCTAATAATAAAAATCACGGGGCTTGTGAACTTAGGTTCCCTCTCAAGAAACACCAAATGACTAATTTAGACAAAGAGGAAGTTTAACTTGCTTAAATCTCAAGACATTCATTTAATGCATCTAGGTCAGTTTATGTTCTCGTTTAAGAACGCTATTCTCCCTCGAAAATTTGAGAAAATTTTCACAATAAAAAAAAACAAATCCATTGTTACAATACAAGGCATGCAAACTCCTTTCGTCTACCTTTATGTAAAACAAATATCCATATATTCTCCTAAATTTTTTTTTAACTCTCTTTCACCTGAAATTCCTGGCTCTTCATCACTGGCATCTTTTAGGAAAAAACTTAAAACATATGTTATCGGTAACTATTAACTCTATCATTCAAAGGAAAAAAACCTGCCGCTAAAAGGAAAAAAAAACTCTGTGGCACCCAGGTTAGTCTTGAACATGCTGAAGGGAAAAATGAAATGAAGTTGCAGCCATCACTGTTACAATCATCACAAATTAAGCAATTGCAAATTAAGCCCGAGAAAAAACTTCGGGGCTTCAACGGTACTTCGAACCCGTGCTCTCTGCGTTCCATTAGCGCTGCAGTGCTCTGCCAAGCGTCTACCAACTGACATGTATGATAACCTACACATTGGGAGCGCGTCAATGTTTGATCCGTTCTAGGACTTGAAATATTGTTGCGGAAACGTTATTGTGGAGACATAGTTGCGGAGTAGTAGCCGCGCAGGAAACATATGTTGCGGAAACGAATTCTGCTGCTCTGAAACAAGGAAATGTTTTTGCCCCAGGTCAAAAACAGTTTTGCTTTCCGTACATAAATTTTACTTACGAAACCTTTAGGGCCGATTATTTATTAAACGAAGTTTAGACAACTTCTATGAAAGTCATCTTCTAAGCCATGTTTAAACCACGAGTACCGATTATTTAAACGTTGTTTTTCCATAACAGTGTTTAGACAGTGTCTAGACACCGACTAAGGAAGAAAAGTAAGTTAGACCTGATCAAAGGTAGGTTTAAACGCTATTTAACGATATTTTCATGGTCAGCCATTTTGAAATGGAGGGACCTCCGCGCTACAGGCAGTTAAGAAACTACGCCAATAGCCTGCGAACAGGCTCCCGGTGAGCCCGTGCCCCCGCCCCGATCGCTTTGCTCTCCGAATTCCTCTGTTTCGCGCTCGCCGAAATTTTTTTCCGTCCTCGCCGGAAGCCTGTTCGCAGGCTACTACGCCAATCGACGTAATATACATGTTTGAATAATTTGGCTCCCTAGTGAGAGATTTAACCCATTCGAGGAACACGACCACGAAGACTTTCGATTGCGTGTTCGCCTTAGAAAGGAATCGTCAGGTCACCTCAGTGACTTCGTAAAACTTTTACATAAAGATCTTCAACATCTCGACTCCGTCTCGGTCCATAAACACGCAAAAAAAGAACTTGGCCAATATCCAGCCATCTTTACCTCACGCTTGGTCAATAACTCATATATATCAGCTCAGCTATCCGCGGGCATGCCATAATTGTAATTTTAATTTGAAAACAAAATAAAATGTATGTATGTATGTATGTATGTAAGCTTATTTACATTTTTTCCACACGTGCATGGCTTGTCCTTGATCGTTTTATGTTATCTATTGCTTCCAGTGGCATAACAATGAAAAGGAAATTGTGCTGTAAGGGATTGTCAGTGAGACCACGCTGCAGTCGAAAGATCTTCACACTAAGAAGACTTACGTGTTTCTCGATAGCAGTGTACGTGCTAATCATCGTGTTTTCGTTGCATACTTTTCGAGACAAGTTTGCAGTCGTTACTGAGCGGTTTGAATCTCTCCCAAGTCAAGGGAGTCTGTTGAGAGCACGGAGTCCATCAATCGTATCTACTTTGTCTTTAAATACTACAAATACCACATTATCGGTTGTGAAAACAACTGCACAGACCTTTGTGTCTCGGACAACAGTAAAACAAGAGAATTATAATTCAAGTGACAAGGCGTTAATGGATAGTTGTCGAGGTTGGTGTCGTGGAAAAACGGAAAATTCGTCAAAACCTTATTTCTTAACAGCAGTCTTGCTCGTAAGAATCTATGTTAAAGACCTCGCTCAGTTAACGACAAGAGAAATGAGGCAATGGCTGTACTATTTGCGATACGCTGGATTCGAGCATGTATACGTGTACGATGCCTTTGTGTATAAAGAAGAGTCACAAGAGCAAGCACTGAAGCATTTAATCGACGAAGGATTTGTAACATATGTGGACTGGAGTCACCGAGCTTTTCCTTATTCTATCAGCGGTACACAACATGCTGCTTATCAAGACTGTATCGTCAAGTTTGGACATGAATCTATGTGGCAAGCTGCAATCGATATTGATGAGTACCCCTTCAGCCCTACAGATCAGCAACCAAAGTTTGCGCAAAGGAAAGTAGCAAGCTTTAGCAAGGCGATGCCTATTGCTTCAGAACTAAGCATGCAGAATTTTCTGTTTTTAGGAAAACCTCTCGACAGTAATGAACATCCATTGCTTATCGATCGACTATGGCGGAGAACACACGGACCAGCTAACGCGCTTGTAAAGCCAATCTATAAGCCGAGTCACGTTGCACGAGCTGCAGTGCATCATAACGCTCTGTCAAAGGGAAACTCGGTGAATTTTCCAGTGACTGAGCTTCGTATGAATCATTATTGGGGAGCGAGGCTGCAGAACTGGGGAGATGACACACCAGAAATCCTTGGTAAAACACAACCAGATACTTCAATGGAGACTATTGTGAAAAACCTGAAGGACTGCATCACTCATTGTCTCCCGTCCGTGGATTTAGTTTATCGCAAAGAGTGGAGCTAATTAGAAACAGAATACATAATATTGCAACTCAATATTACAATCTAACTGGTTGCGCTGCATTATATAGTAGTATTCACTGTTACGCTGATGATTCACAAGTTTACATTTCATTTAGTTCTAACGACAGAGCTGAGCAACTTGCTGTGGTGAGGAATATAGAAGACTGCACCAGAGACATCCGGTTTTGGATGTTGAATAATGATCTTAAATTAAACGACGACAAGACTGAATTCCTCATTATAGGTACGTCATAACAGCTGGAAAAGCTAGACAATATCAGTATTCGTGTGGGTGACTCAGATATTCATCCCGTGCCAATCGCGAGAAATCTTGGTTCTTGGTTTGATTCTAGTCTGTCCATGGCAACACATATCAGAAAAATCTGTGCCTCTTCATTTTACTATATCTATAATATTCGTCGGATCAGAAAGTATCTTCACAGCAGTCAACTGAGACTCTTGTCCGTGCATTCATAACAAGTCGCCTTGACTACTGCAATGGTCTTTTATATGGACTACCAGATTGCTTGTTAAATAAACTGAAACGAGTACAGAATGCCTGCGCCAGATTGATTTTTAAAGAACAGAAATTTTGCCATGTAACGCCTCTTATTTATGAATTACACTGGTTACCGATTAGATACAGAATCGAGTTTAAAGTGTTTTTAATTACTTTTAAGATTCTTAATTTTTTTAGCGCTTACTTATTTATCGTCTCTGATTTCTCTTAGGCTCCCATCCAAATATAATCTAAGGAATTCTAGCGATAAACTTTTACTTAGTTTACAATTAAAGTCACCCATAACGTAATACTCTTTCCTTTCAGCATCTAGCTTTCCAACAAAAGATTCAAAATCGGAGAATAATTCAAAAGGTAAATTGGGACGTCTGTACCATGTAGCAGCAATGAAAGATTTGCTTCTTGGTTTACTAATTTTGATAGAATTAAGGCTTTCCAGTTGATCAAATACGAGGTCCTTGCTAACATCATAATTAATATTAGAACGGATATAAAAGCAAGCCCCACCTCCATTTCTGCCGTTTAGCGGTCGGTCGCGGCGAACGATATCATAACCATGAACACTGACCTCATTATCGGCAATAATATCACTAAAACACGCAAAAAAAGAACTTGGCCAATACCCAGCCATCTTCACCTCACACTTGGTCAATAACCCATATGTAATCGAGTTTCATTGATTGCCAACAAAACGAAGCTTTTACTATGCAAAATGATGCGAAGCTAATCAATATGTCTCGGAGGACTAGCGATGTTTAAGCAGGCCATTTTAAAGCTACGTTTGTTAGGAATCGGTGTTTGAGAATTTAAAGAAAAGTTATTACGAGGGGCAGAATGTGCTGTATAGGGGTGTAAAGTACTGTATAGGCTTTTCTAGTATTGTATAGGGGTGTATAGTGTTGTATAGGGGTGTATAGTACTATATAGGTGTATAGTGCTGTATAACAGTGTATAGGGGTCCATAGTGCTTTAGGGCGGTGTATAGTGCTATATAGGGATGTATAGCGCTGTATAGCGGTGTTTATAGTTCACCACTAAATTTTCTCCGATTTTTATAGGTTTTAATTGATCACGTGACCTGATAGTGTTCGTCCGCGGAGAGACACTATTTAAACAATAGAGTGTTTCTGTCCAGGAACTATCGGCTGATAGTTGCCCCGCGGAAATTTGATGTTCTTAAAACAAATATTTGCCCGAGAAGCGAAGCTTCGAGGGCAAATATGATAGT